GGTACGTTTTTTCTTACCAAAGTGAACGGTAACAACTATCATGCAAAGAAACCTAAAAAACGTACAGGAGCGCATTATATTTGGAATTGCATCATGGAAATGATATCTACGCAACTTGTGAGGAGTACTATTCGTTCTACATACCTACACAAAATATTATTGTCACTAGGAGCTACACTCCTGGCAAATATCAAAGATCAAAAAACAACGAAGGCTTCTTTGTGTAGACGAGTTTCCTTCAGATACGACTAGATAAGACAGTTTGACCGTCGTGTTCCACTGCAGGGTGGGCGCAGAGACGGTGAATTCCGCGTGATCTGATTTATAGGGATGGCGGACTTGCGCAGCATTTACTGCACTCTCTCCTCACCCACCTGGGTCCGGTGTCATGACAGAGTCAAAAAGTCCGGAAGAGGAATCGGATGCGGTGGCTGGCGAAGTCAACAACCCGTCTAGGGTAAGATATGATGGAATCCAGAGATCAAACATATGTTCCAACACAGAGGTAAAGCGTTCTCAAGGGTCCCAACGCAGACTGACTGCTTGGAATTAATTGTAGTTGCCTTTCCAGGCCTTAGAAAGAGAGTCTATTCACCCCTGTACCTGCATCAGTGCTTATCCCATAAACAACCTCTGTTTGCATAGTATGCAGTAGACACTAGGATTACTTTCGGGTAATGGGGCTGGGAATCTGTAGGTCTGACCTGCTGGAACGGTGAGTGCTGTATTGTGTGGAGGCTTAAGTCCACACATGAAGCCTCCCCTGTCCGAACGGGCTTAGCCGATAATTGCAAATCAAAGACCCTGAAACACTTTCAGACTCAGCAACAAATCTGGTGACTTTCGACCGAATTATCGAACGAGTTCTTAAGGAATATATCCTAGAAACATTTAATTAACGTTCCAGATGTAGGTATTGTAGCACAGACAGGAAGGAAGAGTTAGAGGGAAGGCATCGAAGGATGCAAGCCATATTTGGACCTCAGGGTATCGTCGGTCATAAAAGTATATTTGTAAGCGGAGCGCTGTTAGACAGAAACCTGGCACGCTACTGCGGAGACTTCTCAATAGTTGGTTCGAAGTGAAGATGCTAAGGCTTCCAATTCAATGACTGGAGTATCCAGGCGTGTGTCCGGGAGTATTTTTAAGATGGCACAGGTTTGATTTACTTAGACCTACCAGCAGAAACCTCAAGCTCGCTGTTGGAAGGCAGTAAAGGCTGGTTGATAGATGAGTCATCTGGGGTAGCAAAAGAAGTGGTGGCGGTAGAAGACTCTACCTCCTCCTCCTCCTGCGACGGCTGCTGCTGCTGCTGTTGGTCGTCCAAGATCGGTCGCGAGTGATGCGACTTGGCCATCTTGGCAAGCAGTTGTCGAACGGCAGCCTCAGAGGGATATATTCGTCGCAGCACATCGGCGGCCTCTGAGAGTCGACTGTGGGCAGCCAACCATCGAGGGCTCTCGTACGTTAGAGGCATAAGAAGGAGTTGCACAAGGGCTGCCAAACCACCGAGACCCAGCATGTACCTGTGCAGAGGGGCGATTAGAGAATGAGGTTTACTTCTGGCGTCAATTTCGACACCAAGTTACGGTGGGAAATCCCACTCAGCGTCTTCGGTTGACCAGCCAACCTTGGTTACGCCATAAAAATTTGTAAAACCCCTCTGCTTCTGATACCAAACGTAAATTACAACCCAATTGAAACAATATTGAGTTCTGTAGAACTAATACTAAACTTCTCCTCAAAATTAAAACAGTTAAACGGGAAGAATAACCGAGGAAAAATCTAAACCTGAGCCTTTTTATGTGTACTCATCAAAACAGGAGCTGTGTCCCTGCGACTCCTTTGGTCTTGCCCTTGATAAGAGGTTCGGGTGTGAATTCGAAGCGTTAGGCTGACAAAACACTTTCTCCAGTGAGCAAGCAGATTTAACGGTTAGCAAATACCTCGTAAATATCGAAAACCAGTAAACGTGCATTGCATAAGCAGTGGTAGTTTGCACGTTGGATGGGCAAAGGTTTCAAAAACAAAGGACAACATGGCCGGATGAATTAGCTGAGATTGTGCTCCAAGCTGCTCAATACATCGACTCGACTAAAGGACGATTCTCAATCTCATAACGCACATCAGGGGTTCCAATGGTATCGAGGCACACCACAATAGCACAAACAGTTTCGACCCATGAAAACTGAAACTGACAAAGCTGGAGGCGCCACGTGTGCAAATAAGCAAGGGTATCCAATAGGATACCCTGATGGGAACGAAGGGGACTGCCGACGAAATAGCACCCACTCATTTCAAGCTTCTACCGTGTTAACGTTAAGTTCCTCCATGGATCGATTTTCCAAAAGGACTGTGTAAGGCTCCTGCAGGGTTTCTGAGACCTTTCGGTTAAATTGGTCGTCGGCAACGTCGACGTACACCCAAGACCCCTTTATCATTATAATGAAATATTTAAGGTAAAGTTCCGCTATAACCGCGCGGTCGATGGGGAGAAGTTTAACGCAAATGAAGTGGCTCGGGCTCCTTAGACGGCTAACTTAATGGATCTCCAAACTTTATCCCCAGCATGAGTGACTAAGATAGGCCGATGTCTGACGTTTTCAAAGCAGAAAAATGTTGATTGTCGGGGCCAACATTAAATAAACGCAGCAGTATTTAAGAGTATTGCTGGTCATGACGCCTAGACTCCTCCTATCTGGTTGGGGAAGTCATCGGTGTGTCTTGCGGAAGGGAGTGCTGGTGCATCCCACCGGCGGTAACACCTGTCTCCCATCCTTCGGGTTTCAATGTACCTTCTGTAAGATGTGGTTATGCAACCCTACCTAATGGACACAATACTGTTAGGGCAGAGGTTAGGGCTAGGGGTCAGGGTTAGGGCAACTATTTCTCACCCACTCAAAGTGCAACCGCGCATTTCAAATATCTTTTCTTTTGCATACAACTACTTGACCTCGTCGCCTGTGCGTTCCCCGGCCCCACCTGTAAAATCCCCTATTACCACGGGTTGCGTATTAAAGGTAGCTGTTTTTTTTCTACTTCAGGTAAGGCTACATAAACACATCTGACCGTACTTTCTTTCGTTGAGTCGCAACCACGAGGGCTACGCAGTGGTTGTGGCCCCCTAAGCGGGAAACGGAAATAGGAGCGTCCCTTCCAGGTAATAAAAGGTGGATTTGCGCACAATTCTAGAAAGGGCAAAATATTCGAGTGTCCTAACTCCAAAAATAGCTCTAATACAACATTAAGTCGCTCTAATCCTGGCCCTAAGACTACCTTAAACCTTAACTCTTCAGCTAACACTAGCCCCTACCTTAACCCTAAACTTGATCTTGACTTAACTTGCCGTTCACCCCGAATTTATTCTTAAACCTAATTCTCAGCCAAACACTAGTTTCTCTGGAAGTTATCTCAAAGCCACCCGTATTCCAGGCGGTTCGTGTTCTCATGTCCTGTTTGGGGGGAGGGGCATATAAGTCAGTCCTACAGAACTCTTTCCCACACAGGTCACCTCTGCGATCTCTCTGGGACATTATTGGTCCTCGTGAGCGAGAGCGGTAGAAACTGTCGGGGTAGCCTAAAGATATACGCTGAGGCGCACGCGGTCAATCCGAGGTTGCCATCTACATTTTGTGAAGCAGCGAGTCTATTAATCTTTGTCAGACACTTCAGCAAAATGTAAGACCTCATCACTTCCTTTGTCAGGTCTCGAGAAAACGACATCAATGGCTTTACGAAGGTCAGTTAGCGCTGAGTAATCGGGGACGTGATAGGCGATATCAACGAATTTCGCTTTCAGCCACCCCACATTGTCCTTTGACGTCGACGTTAAGTCCGATAATAGTTGGATCGCATGACCAACCTCGCA